AGACAGAATCATAAATTGATACAATCATTTATGTTTCTGTCCAACGACTTAGGAAAGAAAATATAGGATTAATGGTTTTCCGTTCATAATTACAATACATGAATTCAATAACTTATTACTCCGGTTATATTTTAGCCGTACTCACCAGCTGCCTGAAATATAGAATGTGTTCCTAAAACTTTTTCAGTGCCCAGTTCTCCTCTTAATCCAGATCCGAAAACAGGATCAGAAAACTCCTCAGCTTTGCTATTTTCATTACCTGAATGAGATTAAGAGATAATGAATTTTATGAGATTAAAACTGAAAAATATTTACTTAAACCGCTACCAAATTAAAAATTAACAAACAAATGTTTAGTGATAATGCACGATACAGTGCAATGCAACACATCTTTAAAGGGTATGGTACCTTCTGCTACAATGTTCGATTCTTCGACTATAGTCGAAAGTCTTGGCTGCACACAATCTACTTCCTCCAATTCAGCAATGTTTTTTGGCACGACCATTTCATGCTCTGAAATGACTTTTAATTAATTAGTACTTGAACTTTTTTTGACATATTTTTCTATACTCTCAGATAACTTATAAGAGTTATAACGAGATTTTGGTGTGACGATATCCGAATTAATGAATTACAGTTCTTCTAGTCTCTTCTTTATCCAAGTGCAGAAGAAGAGTGAAATAGCTCAATCATTGAAGTTTTATTAGTGTTTAGATTTTGAATACAACAACATTACTACTTGAAATTTTGCAGATTTCATCAGAAGGAAAGATGACAATTGCAAATGAAGTCATTAAGTAGAAATACGACGGATAATTGTAAGAGTGGTGGTACTTCATTCATCGTGAATAATTACTGACTTGTCCGAGACATTTGAAATAAAATTAAGACAATTGGCCACAACTTTTATAACTTACCATCGATGTAAACGTCATCCCCATAATTAGATTTGCAGTCAATATCCGAATCCAAATCATCAAACCGATCTTCTTGTATCTCCCAGGAAGCATCTGCCATCACTCTCAGACTGTACCAGATTTTCTTACCAATAAGAAAAAAATAAAGATGGAATGCGTCACCAAAGGAACAGTAGCAATGAAAATATGCTCCCGCGATTTCACATTTAAAACTATGCAACAAAATTTGCATATCGTTTCGAAATTTATGCAACAATTCAGGAAATCACGGTATGTAATATAGACTAGCATGAACATGCAAAATATGCACTAACAGTATGTTGTACTGTTTACACGTTCGATCCTTACTCTCTAATACTTATAATACCCTTACATTACTGTCATGTCATCCACATTGCTACTCATATCACCGCGATATCTCGACACGTTGACCCTTGCTTAGTGTATTACTTGCACTCAAACAATACTGATCGAATGGGGGAGGGACCTGCACAAGACAGATATAATACAATTTGCATAAATGAAGAACTAGCATGTCTAATTTTTTACAGATGATTACAGTCTGCCACATTAGTCTGAAGTTATATTTTGTGTCGCCACATTGCAGTAGAAGATTTTATAATCAGGTTTTGGTCAACAGAAGTTTTTAGTTATAATCAGTTATGGTCAACTACGCTAATCTACTTCAATGTTCCACTACATATATTGATTGGAGAATTTCTACAATAAATATAAAAAAGCTAGCATTATGCAGCATTATTTAAAAAACAGTCTGTTCTGTGTAGCAAGATAAAATAGTATTCACAATGGATGGTAAGGCACAGTATTGTTATGCTTAATTGAGTTTTGCTGGCTGATGCATAATCACTTTTTCTATGATTACCTGCTCTATTAGTGACTCAAACTTTTGAAATTGTCCAAATTTGCAAGGTAGCCAAAAAAAATCTCAAACCACGAATTCAGAACTTGATCACATCACACAATTTTGTTGAAGCTTCACGTGGTTTAATCATGGAGTGGTGGGACAAGGTGTTGATGTAGACAATTTCCATATATACATTTTAAATATTAGCACTATGTTAGTAATTATTGGGAAAATTCTTGGAGGTCCCTGCATATATTAGTGGCGAGAGAGTGACAGAAAGCAGGTGGGTGTAGATAGCGGGGTAGTGAATGGACTAGAGGGATAAGTGAGTATGTCGAGATTTGTAGAATTTAGTGTTTTGTTGTTGTTATGCAGGGTGAAGCGTGGATTATTTAAAGAACAGACTGTTCTGTGAAAAGCCTGTTTTAGCAAGATGAAATAGTACTCACAGTGGATGGGGCAAGTTGTCTCAAAAGCACCTTGTTGTTATGCTACCTGATTTTCGCTGGCTGATGCATGATCACTTTCGCTATGATAACCTGCTCTATTAGTGACTCGAAATTTTGAAATGGTCCAAATTCGCAAGGTAGCTACACAACCAGACAGGTAGTGAATTTAAATTGGTAGACGCATTTTAGGTCTGACTGTGGTGAACTTTGCCAATAAAGTTGAATCTGAACACTTATGTATTATTACGAAATATGTGAGTGCTATGGAACAAACGCAACATACATCCTTGCAAGAGAGAGAAGCAAAGCCTCTGAAGCACAGGAAGCTCAACTCTCAGATTTGTTAAGCGCAGTCCTGACCAAGTATTAACAACACGACCACGACCATGAGCAACACCGCGCAATACTTTCTGCGTGCGTCTCAAATTCATTTCATGAAAGGAAGAGAGAGGGCTGAGCGAATGAATGAATGAATGAATGAAAGTGGCGTAAGCGAGTGTGTATGTGTGTGCATGGATGTGTGGGTGTGCACGGCTGTGTGTGTGGCCGTCATTCATCAATTGCGATGTTGAGAGTTGTTCTTTGCTCGTCTAAAATGGAAGGAAGCACCCAGCGAGAGTAACCAGCAAAATTTATATATAACCGAGTGTGTACAAGATGTAGTATCGCTTCTCGGCCTATTGGCTAAGATCAAAGTGTAGTATCTGTTCT